AATAATAGATTGCTTATTTAAAATGAATATTCAAGTGACAAATCGTGAAAAAGGTGTAAGATTACTAAATTAGGGACTTTTTGTGAAAATTACATATTGCCATCCTACTTTTTTTTATTTGAAAACTATTTAGTTATGATTTTGTTATTCGGAATTTCGGATCCTAAAATCCTAAATCCTAAAAGTACTATATGGACGTTCTTATTAGGAACCCCATCAACTCCAAGTTTCCAGCCTCCTGAGTCCTACGCATAGCACGGAGGGACCATTAGGTCAATTTCTTACTTTAAATATTTTAGGTAATGGGCCATAATAAGCATAAAAGCTTTAATTTGCAACCAAGGGTTCCATATGTCAATTTTATTTTAATTCATTTGGGCCTTAGAGATCACAAACGCATCTGCTTTGCTGTTTTTCGGTTCCAGAAAGTAGGGCCGGGAAAATAGACTAGACTGTTTAAAAAATCGTAGATCAAATTGTTATTTGTTCGAATTTTTGCGTGGTTGAGTAAACAAATTGTTCATTATTCGGTCATATTATCGGGTGTGATTTATGCTTGAAATTTTCAACATAGGCCTTTAATAGATTCACCAAATAGCCAATAATCACTAATTAAAATGAATGGATTTAACAATATAGGTCGCTTATGTATATTATTAAAAATCATTGGTCGAGTGTTAAGTATTTTGATTGATAAATGAGTATATACTCTATCAGGATATCTTAAACCTATATCAAAGTTGCACGCAAAAGACCATGACTTTTTAATAGTAGAATATTACAAAATCAATTCCAATTCACTCTGACCGATCTCTATTTGAACTACAAAACAAGTTTACTAATGATATGACCATAAATAATAACTCTTATCGGTTTATAATCACTTCAATTATTTTGACTTTCGACATTAAAGAATTATTGTTTTTCAAATTAAATTTACAAAAATCGATTCACGTAAGTGAAACTTGAAGATAATTTATCAGCTATTGACAAAATTAGTAAGATCGAGACATTTCTTTCTATAAGAAAAAATTCTAAAGAGATTAAAATAAAGCATAACGAGACATGATTCTTTAAACTTGCATCTTAAAATTGCATGAATTGTTTAAAATTTTAATTGGGGCCTACTATATAGTAATATTAATGAGGCGGGACGGGATGGGTAACTTAATACCCATACCCACTCTGTACTAAGCGTTGGTTAGGTCGAATAATACCCGCTCGGGTGTGGGGGTGGGGCAGGTCGACCCACTCTTATATGTTATCTGAAAAAAGAACGTCGATATTTTAATTCTTTGACAAGAACACATAGAAAAATAATTCATAAATGAATGAGAAACGTAGTAGAAGGAATAATTGAGTCTCAATAGTTGAAAGATAGTATAGAAATTTTCATTGGGATGTAAACATGATTTTAGAATGGTCAAAAGATTATAAATACATGTAGATATTGATGCAAATCAAGATAGAACGCGTAAAAAAGGGGACGGTAAGGGACAAGTCGTAAGCAATACCCATGCCTCGCAACAAGCTACTAGAGGTCGGATGATATCCGCCACAAACAGGTTGGGATAGGTCGGGTCGCGAGGTTCATGTAAGATATTGTCATCACTACTAATATACAATCGGATACATGGGTTAGTTGTGAAGGTTCCCCTATAGGGTAGGACAATATATATTATTCTCACAAATATTGGTGACCGTCTTCTCATTTTAGCCATTACATTAAAATTGAAGAGAATTGATTAGCTATTGACAAAGTTAGTAAGAGGGAAACATGTAATTTTATTAGAACAAATTGTACAGAGATCCAACTAAAGCTTTATGATTATATAATTCTTTAAACTTGCATCTATATATTTGCATGCTTTGTTGAAAATTTTAAACTTGCATCTATATATTTTCATGCTTTGTTGAAAATTTTAATTCGGGCCTGATATACAATTTGGGTACATGAGGTTTGTTGTGAAGGTTCTCCGTGGGCAGGACAATATATGCAATTCTCACAAATATTGGTGATCATTTTCTCATTTTGGTTGTTACATTGATATTTTTCTCTGAACACGATGATAAAGAAACATATTTTCTTACAGATTTGTCTCTTAATGAAACTATAAATTTCGGAGTTTTAGAAAACCAAAATTTGGTTTCACAAGTATTGTTTTCGTGATAAAAGTGATGGAGGTGCATCACAAACTTTAGGGAGTGTAAACGAATTGAAATGATGAAACTCCAGTTTCAATCTAACGACTCATTAATATTAAAATGTTATCTCTTTCTCTAATAAGTAGGATAATTCGTATTCCTTCCAATGTAATTAAGTTGTCAAAGTTAGGAACTAGTGGTGCTATGCTTAATGCGACCTATCGACCAAAAGTTGAAGAAAACTCTCTCAAGTACTTTTGTGGGAATCGTACAACAAAATCAGACGATGTCAACTAGGTAGCAATCTATCTATAGAGGTCCATTCTTCTTAATTTCACAATTCACTTTAGGAAAATCACCATACCCATTAAAACATAAGTTATAGTAATAATAACGTTTTTTTAGAAGAGGAAGATACTATCCATATTGGAAATTAGTGATTTCGGATAGAATAAACAACAAATCATTAAAAATATCACGACTTGGATGAAATATATTCAACTTGAAGTGTCATATTTGCCATATCATTAAAGGTTCGCTTTTATTGAGATGTGGGAGAAGCAGAAGTCGGTCTACTAATATTGGAGGTAGTGGATCTAATAATGGAAATGACCACATTGTTAACAAGAAGGAAGCCAATATTGATTGTAGATATTTTCATTAATGTTTGGTTTTTTTATTGTGAGATGGTTCTCTGGCATGAGTTTGGTTATTTACTTTCCTCCTTACACTAGAGAATTGGCTAGAATTTAAGGAAAAAAAAAAAACTCTACAATATATGTTTATTTTTATAAACAATTACTATTGTTGTTTATACCATTTAAGTAATTTATCCGTCCAATAATGAATTTATTATAAAACTAAAAATATATATAGCCACCCAACGGTGGGCCCGGATCTAGTTGAAAACTAAAGAAGAGAGAGAGAGAACGTGGGAGTTGGGAATCCTTTCCTCAAAGCATAGAAGAATCGGCAGAAGTCCCTAATTGAAATCGAAAGCCCAATTTGCTCCTCCACTCATAAAGTTTCCGACTTTTCGTTTTTTCGCACTCTCCATCGCCGCCACCGCCATCATCTCCCCGAAACCCTAATTTCTCTGCCTCTCCGTCTCTGCGGCGGAACCCACCGCAATGTCTTTCTCCCACTCCGACCACAGCCACGATCCCGACCGCCGATCTCAGCAACAACAACCGCAGCCCCGTCTCTACAACCCGTACCAGGACCTCAACACCCCGATCAAAACCCTCTACAACCTCCCCACCTCGCCGGAGTTCCTCTTCGCCGAGGAATCCGTCAAGCAGCGCCGCTCCTGGGGCGAGAATCTCACCTTCTACACCGGCACCGCCTACCTGGGCGCCTCCGTCGGAGGCGGTGCCGCGGGGCTCTACTCCGCGGTCAAGGAGTTCGAGCCCAACGACACGCTCAAGCTCAAGGTGAATCGCGTCCTCAACAGCTCCGGCCACTCGGGCCGAGTCTGGGGAAACCGGATCGGGATCGTTGGGTTGATCTACGCGATGGCGGAGAGTGGGATTGTTGCAGCTACCGATAGGGATGATGTTTGGACCAGCGTTGCGGCCGGGCTTGGGACAGGCGCTGTTTGCAGGGCGGCTAGAGGGGTGAGGTCTGCGGCTGTCGCCGGTGCTTTGGGCGGTCTGGCTGCCGGAGCGGTGGTGGCTGGGAAGCAGGTCATGAAGAGGTATGCCATGATTTGATTGGAACAGGGGAGAAAGAGGAGAAAGGTTGGAGCTTTGAGGTTAGGGCGTGAGTTTTTTTTAGTCTTCTCCTTTAGCCTTTTGGTTGTTTGGTAATAAGCATATAATATGATGTGTTCTGCTCCAGTTTTGATCTTGACAATAGAAAGGGAAATTAGTAAGAAGAAGAAGCAAGGGGTGACTGAATCAAAGGAAAGAATTGTTAGTTGGAAAGTTTGGAGAAAATTTAATGTTATTTTGGCATGGAAGAATCATGCTGTGATGAACAACAAAAATTTGAGGAAATGTATAATTCTGGTGTTCTCACTTCTCTGGTGATGTAATTTGCCGACTTTGTTTGAATTTATGGAATAACATTCTGCTGCTGCTTTGATATAAAGTTACAGATTTTATAGTGCATGTGCTTGTGTGTGCGTTCGCCTTGAAGTGAATTGATCTCGATAAGTTTACTTGTTAAGATCGGTTGCAGAGTCGGAAGTGTAAGTTGATTTATTTTGTCTGGAAACTTGTAATGTGTGCTGTAGCTCTGGTGTTTCAGTTTAAGATCTTATTAAGAAGCTAGATGCCTAGATCATGTGGCGAATGTCATGACAGTAGTATTGAATTTGGCTGCATCCATCACATGTATATGCATTAGCTGCAACTAATTCCTTAATCGCTCACCTCTCAGCTGTGTCAAACCGTTCTAAATGTTACTTGATGTTTTGTGCACCTCGATCCTTAGGGGCACTGCTTGTGCATTATCAAACTAGGCAATCTCCTGTGCTTCATACCATGGCTGGGATGAAACCTTTATGCAGAGTGTCTGAAGGTGTGCATGGTTTGGTCAAAACTGGAGTGGATTTGAACGGTTGCAGGATCTTGTTCAACAATGTGAACCTAATTGTGCTGGTTGTGTGTCTAGTTGCGTCAGTGCCTCAGTGGCTTCTTGGTTGCTTGTTACAGATTACAGAATGACCCAAGTTTAATGTGTTTGGAAAAGGTAGGAGTGTTTGTGTTTTAACTCCTGTCATTAAGATTTTGGCTCATATTTGCAGCTGTCGCTTCTATTAGTTCGAGAATCTCAATCCATTGGGATTAAACCTGGAATTGATCTAATATCATCCGAATATCGGTATCCCCCTCTAACCCGATGCCAGCAGACCTGAAATGTTTGCTGCCAACACAACCACTATAGGATGGAACGATTCTTGAGCAAATTAGAAATGAAAGTAGACAATAATTTTGAATGTAACTATAAGAAACGATCGACATGTTCGGTTAAAAATCTGGCATCTGCAGAAGCTTGGAAGGAGGCTATTAGTTATTACCCTCTGCTGGTGTCAAAAAGTTTCGAGTACCTTGTGAGTTTACAGTGCCTTGAAAAGCCTCCCATTTTATTGAACAAAACAAACGGTTTCTTTCAGCTCCCCTAAAGGAAATGCTAACACTATATCAAACATGCCGTTGCTCCTTCGAATTCAATGAATACCATAAAAGAACAGAAAAGGAATATTCAATGGTGTTATCAGTGCATCTGTATTCAATCCACGCTTTCTTTCTGCACGATGAAATCACGGAAATGCCCAAATGAAGAGAAGAAATCAGGCTTAGCCCACTTGGTTCAAATTTTTACAGCAACATCGTCTCCGGATTCTCAATGTAACTCTTGAATGCCTTGAGCCATTCTGCACCGATGGCGCCTGAAACAGATTCATCAGTGTCAGTGCTATTAAGTTGAGTTCGAATGTATAGACGATTAGCAAAAACAGATCTTTGATAACCGATGCATACCATCAATAACCCGATGGTCACAGCTTAGTGTCACTGCCATGAACGAAGCAAACGAGTAGGCATCGGGACCAGAGCCGGGTACTACCCTCTTCTCAGCTGTTGAAGGTGTAAATACATTATTATTACCAGCAGAGAATCAACAACCCTTTCTTGATGGGGAAGTAAAGGATTTATCTTACCTGAACCAACAGCTAGAATTCCTGCCTGCGGAGGATTCACAATGGCACAGAATTGCTTGACGCCAAAAGGCCCACCCAAATTAGATACAGTAAATGTTCCTCCCTGCCACATTGATGAACACCGACATGATTGTAAGAAAAGCTTTTTCTACAGAAGGAAGCCCAAGGAGGAAAGAGCAAGAAGAGAGAAATACTGATCAATACCTCGTAATCTTCTGGCTTCAAGCTGTTGTCCCGGGCTTTTTGGGCCAAATGTTTGACTTCTTCGCCTATTGCTGACAAACCTTTCTTGTCTGCATCCTGGAATATTTTACAAGGATGATTTGTGTTGAGAACTAATCTAACAGTAAGAATGGAACGGGACTTAGCATACACCAATAAACTACGATCATCTTTCTTACCCTAATAACTGGAACGTATAGCCCGTTATCTGTTTGTACAGCTACATTGATATTTACATTCTTATACCTGTACCAACAGAAAAGGAAAGAGATGAAACATGATTTACCATACTAATTGGAGCAATTGTCTGGATATTTAAACCAGCTTATATTACAGTCTATGGAGCATATACTCACTGGCGGATATAGTTATCATTCCATGAACTATTGCATTGTGGAACTTTCTTAAGGGCCAAAGCGACAGCCTGTGATAACAATGCAGATAAGAAGGGAATAGATTAACGCTGAGATAGTTGTACCACAAGGAAGATCAGCATTAGCGAATCGCATCGTAGTGATATTTTGAGCAAGGAGATCTACAAACATAAATATTTCCTATATGTTAGACAAGAAAGGCAATGTACCTTGATGACAAGATCATTTACAGATATCCGCTTCCCACCCGTGGCCTCTTGCAACGAATTGAGTTGGCTGCGCAGTCTGTATCAGGAAGATTACAGTTTAGATTGTAGAACAATGAAATGGACCATAAGTAAAAAACAAGGTAACATAAATGAGTTAAACCCACTCACTCCATAAGTTTATCAACACGTGTGTCAACGGTTAAGTAATAGTGAGGAACAGTTTGCTTCGACAGTAATAAGCGTGCAGCAGTGACCTGTCACATGATACAAGCAACTATCATGATTTTGTCACAAAAACTATGATTAAAGATATATTATAACATTGATGTTCTTAAGAAATAAAGCAAAATCAACCATTTGCAGAATCCTCAGGCCCAAAATAATTATTTCCCTGAACACGATTTTGTCACAAAAAAGTACACTTCTTGCGAGTTCAGTTTCAATAGAGATGGCTAATAATATTACCTTTCTAATTTGAGTATGGGGGATGTCAACATAATCCAAAGCAGCATCTGCCACACCGGCCTTGGTCTTTGGTGTTGCCGCAGAAACTTCCTTGCCACTTGAAGCTATATAATTAAAAGAAATTCTTTAGTATGCTAACCTAAAATCAATAAATCGAGTATGGCCAATCAACAGCAACAATGGAAAGTTTCATTATCAGGGCATGGCACATATGTCAAACAGATGTGAAAAGAACAATGTGTAGTATTCTAATCGTACCCAAGTAATCTTCAATATCAGCCTTCACAATTCTTCCATCAGGACCTGTTCCTTTGATTTCTGATAGAGATACCTATAATTTATGACAAAAGAAAGAAATGAAAAGAGTGGCCACAATTAAGCAGGACAGGTAGCTACACCTAGGGAGAGAATGTCACAAAGTGCTTCAAGTCACTAACTTTGCGCTCTTCAGCCAATTTCTTTGCCAGAGGGCTAGCAAAAATGCGATCTTCAGAAGATGCTGGAGTGGGCTTGGGGGTCTTTGGTGCTGGAGAACGATCTGGTTCCTCAACAGCTTCCTTTGCTGGTGGAGGAGGTGGAGCGGAGGATGATGGCTCTTTAGGTGGTGCAGTATCCGCTCCTGAAGCCGAAGGGCTGTAATCCTTAAACTTTCCAATGTCTTCCTCATCCTCAACAGTAATTGCTATGATCTACACAAGATAACAGGCAGTTAACAGAACATACAATTAAAGTACAATATCTAAATCTCAATTCTTCATAACGAGAAAGATTGGATGAATAGCGTGGTATACCTCGCCAACTTTAATTTCTTTGGCTCCATCTCCCTTTACAATCTTTGCAAGATAACCCTCTTCCATGCATTCCATTTCAACAGTTGCTTTATCCTTCAGAAGTTAACAGAGAGATAAGAGCACATTTACACTCCACATGGGCAATGCACATAAATCCAGAAACGGAATGGCAGTGATCGAACAAGGAAACATACAGTTTCCACTTCACAGAGCACTTCACCTGGCGAGATTTTCTCGCCCTCTTTCTTTAGCCATCTTGCTATGTTCCCCTGTAGAACAGAGAAAATGGAACAGCTATTAGACGAGAAGAACATACAATGGTAGTAAGCTGCAGGAAGGCACATGCCTCTGTCATTGTTGGTGAGAGAGACGGCATTCCAATCTCCTGATGTGGAGGTAGAGCTGCAACATCATTGCATGGTGCATCGGTTAGAAATAGACTTCCATATTTAGTACTTAATTAATGATGGCAGAAAGCAAGTTGATGGTAGGACAGTGAACCTGAATCAGTTGAAAAGGCTCTCCTGGAGTATACTTGTGAGCTAGCCACGGAAAAGAATAGAGTTAATATTGTATATGATTAAAAAATAAATATTGACTCTCGAGAGTGCCAATGTAAGAACAATACCAAGAAAATGGCGCAAGCATCGGACTTCCTGATCTCATGGTCATGGTTGAAACGTTTCTCTTGAAAATACCCAAGGATGACACCTAACCAACCAGAATGACCACGTAAATACTTCCCAACTAAGTATAATTCCAATGGGCATAAAGAACTGAAAGTTCGAAAGAGGTGGAGTAAAAATGCACGAGAATATGACTAAACAGAGAACTTACGGGGCCATTGGCAGTACAGGAGAAACTCGCTTCCTCTGCAGTCACATATACATGATTGCGAGCCTTCAAAATATCTGCAGACAACCGATTTGTCATGTAAAGATAGAAGCAACATGAGCAGATTCTATCCCCAATTTAAAGTTCACCAAACCGAAACACGAAGTAATGAATGCAAGAAACAAGTAAACCATGCCCTCCTGCTCTCTTAATACCAACTAGTACAGCTTCTAGAAGAAATTGATCATCGATGCACAGCACAAAGCAAGACTAGTCCACAAACAAATGCCGGCAAAGTTCACAAATACCTTCTCTTTTACCAAGAGCCTCATTCGAGAACCAACGAACCAAGCTTCCATGTCTGTATCGCAATATGCTGGGAACATCCCTCAGCTGTGAAAAAGAAATCCCCAGAAATCAGATTCCAAAACAGGATGCCAGTAAGCCATTTGAAGCAGAGAGATACTATTAATCTGCCAATCGGAAAGCTAGAAAATCAGCTGGCCTGACAGTTCATTGACAACAATTACGACAGACGGACAGAAAACTCCCCTTAAAAAACAGGCAAGGAAAGATAGATTGCTGATGACCCATTGATTCAATAAGCTCCCACGAAGAGATCGAAACCGAGCGAATGGTCAATGAAGGAAGATATTGAATTGCTAGTGAGAAAAGCATAGCTCGCATGCACATCAATGGTTCGTTTCAATGAGTCAAAGCTGAATCGGGAGGGGGGGAAAAGGGAATAACAGAAGCGTAGTGATTCGGAAGCTAACCTTCTTCGAGTGATTCATTACGCGAGATGCATACGCCATGGCTCGTTTCTTTGATCAAAGGTCGGAACTTTCGTGTTCTTGGACAAAAGGGCAGCAAGGAAAAAAAGAAAAGAGAACAGAAAGATGAGCGAAACCAAGGGGATTTGGGAAAGAAAAGGGATGTTTGGTCGACGAGAAAATTTCCCTAAGAGCACACCAATTAGGAAAATTAACAATATTCTCTTTGTGGCACGAGCACGACTCTCACTTGTCTTTTCTTCTTTCTATTTTGCAGTACTGTGTCTTCGTACTATTATTTTCTTTAATTAACAATTTTGCATGATTGTTAATAGTTATTATTATTTGATATTTAATTACTCAGATTCGAAGATGGAGCTTTTCAGCGACCCAAAAGGCCAAAACACTCTCGATTAAAAGCTTTGATAATGCCACTCTTCACACTCGTCAAACCTCCAAAATCTTATGAATTTTATGAGGTTGTTTGGAAGTTATCATTATTAAACAAATATAGTGATTTACACAATGTATTGATTAATTTGATGTATTATAAAAATATAGGTTTGGTATGTATAATTGTGTTTTTAAGGTTTCAAAATAATTAACACTTTATAATAGAGTTAATTGCATGGTTGGTTACTGAGATTACAAAAAACGTTCAAGTTTGGTCACTCGAAATATTTAAATCCATTGGTGGTACTTCAGTTTACTGAAACCGTTCACGTTTGGTCACTCTCCGTCCAACTCCGTTAACTTTGGTTGATGTGGCAGTCAACTCTCAAAGTTGATCGTTAACTTAGTGATGTGGCAATTAAGAAATAATAAATAAAATTTAATCTATTTTAATGTCCAACTCAAGGGAGAAAGATGTCTTGTGTACATGTTGGACTGTTGGCTCATTGGCTTGGATTGTCCTTGCAGGAGCCTTTTTGTTTGCTCATTTTGCAGGTGAAGATTCAATTGCAAAATAATCGATTGGTGACGGCTTTTTCATGTCCACCAGGTGGCCTTTTGATGAGATTTGATGGAGCACTGCTACGAAATAGAGGAGGCATCATTGGCTTTCTGGTGTTGCTACTGCTAAATCGAATTTTGGGATGCTGCCGTGGAGGTTATCCTTTTGAGTCCTACTTCTTTAGCGGATCAAGTTGGCGTCGATCTTATCATGAAGTTGTATCCTTTCGATGGTTTGAGTGGTTTCCATAACTTTTTTCTTAGGAACTAACGAGCTGCCCATTGCATGGCAAAAACGGCTCTTTCATCGACCGCTCAATTAATATTGACTGTCGCTTTTATTTTTCAATCCATTCTAATCAACTATCTATTAATATTCTATCTATTGAAAAAAAAAAAATCCATGGTTTTGGTGATATTAGCACAAAATAATTTTATACCAAGCTTACTATGAGTCTCTCTCATTTCCGGAAGTAACCGGTGGAAGCCCATGCTCCCGGCGGTCGAGTTGGTCCTTCCCGGCCGTTCTCGCTCTTGATTTCCATCTCTCGTCTCCTGGCTCCGACCGCCTCCTCCACTCTCTGTCTCCAGCTTCCTTCGGTTGATCAAAAGAAGAAACGAACAAACCGTCTCCGGTGGCAGGATGGGGAACCAGAAGCAGAGGTGGACGGAGGAGGAGGAAGGCGCCCTGCTCGCCGGGGTATCCAAGTACGGTCCTGGGAAGTGGAAGAACATTATCAAGGATCCTGACTTCGCTCCTCTCCTCACCCACCGCTCCAATATCGACCTCAAGGTTCGACAAATTCCCCTCCATATCCCTCTCCCTTCTCACAAAATCTCCAGTAGGGTTTTGGGTGCTTCTCAGAACTGTGATTCCTAGACCCTGTTGGTGTAGCGAACCCTAAATGCCATTGTTTAAGTGGATGTGTGATGCGTTTTGGTGCTATAGCATTGTGGTTTCTTCTGGTAGATTGTTTTTTGTAGTCGTTGCGTTTCATGGATATTAATGGTTGCTAGTAGAGAAGAAATCATTGCATTTTGCATTGTGCAGGACAAATGGCGGAATATGTGTGCTAACAACGGTTCGATAGAAAGATCCAAGAGAGGTAGAGTGAAGAATCCGATTGTTCGGATCGCATCCTTTGCTAAATCCTCAGCTCCTGCTGAAAATGTCGATGCTATTATAGATCATGCTCTGGAAATTGCAGCTGATGGGAAAAAGGATGCGGGGTTTGTTCTTTGCCTTGTCGCTTCTCTTCTTCCTTACATGCAAGTTTTGATTAGATGAGTTTCATTTTGATATATGAAGCTTTCCATATCGACCAGGTATATTGCAATGGTTTATGAAGCTCTTTCAGAAATTAACGACTTGAATGGAAGTGATCTTAGCACGATTCTTGACTTCATTGAGGTAAGGCTGACTGAATTTTTACTCTTCTCTGCAAATGGTTTGGCCTGTATACAGCCATTTGAGTTGCAGCCAGAATTGGCAAAACCAAACTGTTTACTCATGGTTATAATTTGAAAACTACTTACATATTTGCATGAGGTCTGAGGTGTGTATGGTTTCGCGTGTGGTTGTTATAAAACTGCATAGCTTTTGATTTAGGTTGTTTCCATGGAGATCCACTAGAACTAAGACGAGCATATGAAATGTAAGAAACGCAATTAAGTGTATAAATCTGATGAAACCTGGTCTCAAGTATGCTTGTTTGTGATGTCTTTGAGTTATGTTGTGAGCAAAGCAAGTCATGGTCTTAAGGGTGGTGCAAATCCTAAACTGTACGCCGAAGTAATTAAGCATTCAAGACATGTTTTTCATCCCCACATCAGATTCATAGCTTTGAATTGAAACAGTCAACTTCTATCATTAAATTAAGCCAACCAGTCAATTTCGGTAATCTCATCATCGTTTGATCTAAAGTCATGTTGACTGACTGTCTTTGTTACAATTCTGCAGCAAAGGCATGTGGTGCCTCAGAATTTTAGGAGGGTATTAAGCGAAAAGCTGAGAAGGCTTGTTGCGCAGAGAAAGCTCGAGAAGGTAAGTCTGTTCTCTTCATTGTCTCTAGAAACTGGTGCTGATGATGGTTATCTTTTATTTTGGGTGACTCGAATTGGTGGAGTAAATAAATGGGGGTAAGAAAGGCCATTTTAGGTTAACTGTAGGCCGACACCCCATAGTTGCGGGAATTAGTCATGTATGCCATTCTTATCTTGGCATTGTGTAAGAATGACAGGTGCAAGACAATTACAGAATAATGAAAGGAGCTCCACCAAAAACAAAATCACCAACCCGAAAACCTGAAGAGCTCAAGCAACTCCAGTTGAAGAATCCTGCACTAGTCACTTATGATGACTTTGAAGCCGTGCTAGAAGCAGCAACAGTCGCTGCTTACAAGATAGCTGAGGCGGAAAACAAATCGTTTCTGGCTGCAGAAGCAGTAAGAGAGGCAGAACGAATCGGTGTAATGGCAGAGCACACGGAGGCAACGCTCTATCTTATCGAGGAAATTTATGAGCAATGTAAAAAAAGAACCTAAAACCCTCCCTCCACTTCACTCTCTACCGTCTGTCGTTTGGAAATTGGATTCAAGTGACACATTTTGTCTCCAAATTTTGCAGGTTCAAGAGGCGAAGTCTTTGTCCTGGCCTAAAATTTTCCAGCTAGGTGAGATCTTTATGATAGTTAGGAGCTGTATGTAGCAAGTCGATTGAGCACTAACCAATTTGGCAAGTCCTTCGGTTCTTTTAGAATGGCGAGTAGGAAACATGTGTAGGTAGTGTGTAGTGGAGGTTGACCCAGACAGTAGTTGTAAAGGCAGACTCCATCTTCATGAAAGGGTTATCTACTGATAGAGAAACCCATTTCCATGTCCAAATGTTTTATAGAGTTGATAGTCAGACATGAGATAGATATATGTAATGACAAGAGAATGCATCTTCAAGTATTTCCTACGCCATATGTTTTAATCCTATTCCGATAGGAGGGAATATAGGTGGAATATAGGTGTTAGCGTGTGGTATAAGATTTTTATTATGAAACCTATTAAACCTTTCTCAACAACTTGAGATATTGGGATCAACTAGTTTTTCACATGGTAATAGAGTTTTCTGTAACCGATAGGTATTGTGTTTGAATTCCCATGATCTTAAGCACATGGTGTCCGGACCTATGCAAATTTCAAACTCATATATTGTAACTATCATTTGAGAGGACGTGTTAGTGTGTGATATAAGATTCATTATAAACTTCTTCCAACAACTCGAGTTGCAGAAGATGATAGACGTTTTAATTATTTGGGGGTTTATGTCGGTTTGAATTATTCAGTTCGGGTTTAGTAGGTAATTGTGTTTTGGGTATTTAGACTATTGTTTTACGTAGGGAAAGGCAAGCAAAGATTAAACCTAAAAACTAATCTCTCTCTCTCCCTCCCTCTTGGCCGTCGAGCCTCTCCCCTCTCCCTACCACGCTGCCGATCGACATCCTCTTCCCCTTCCCTTCTCCTTGCTTCAATTCCTCTCAAATCATCTTTCCCCAATCCCCATAATTCCCGGATCAATCCCTAGTTGATCCCTAATCCCCAATCTCTCGATAGAGCTTAATCCGGAGCTCTATCATTTGGTATCAGAGCCTCGTTCTTGGGTTCCTGAACAAACGAAGAACGACGAGCGCGGTGGTGTCAACGAAATCAATGCAAGCAGCTGAGAAGGCCGCCAAGGCGGCGGCGCAGGAGCAAGCCGTGATCGCGGCCACGACGGGGCTGCCGTCGGCTGGTGAGTGCGGTCATGGGGTCCCCAATTCGCGGGACGGGGAGTTGGAAGACGAGACGGAGAAGCTGGAGGCGATCCGAGCTACCTTGGATCGCCTGGTGACTGCGTTCGAAACTGAGCGCGTGGAGAGGCTGGCTGTCCGGCGCGAGCAGGAGGAGGAGTCTCGGAGGGTTTGGAAGTGGTTCGATGAGGTGCAGGTGGCCTTGGAGGCGCTGCACGCCGCGCAAGCAACCGCGCAGAAGAGCAGCGACGGCGGTGCAGGGGGCAGCAGCATGAGCGCGGCGGTAGGGGTTAAAAAATAGAATTTTTAATTTTATTATTTTATATTACAAATTTAATTTAAAAATATTATGTGTTAATGAGCTGATGTCGCAGCTGACATGGTGTATACGTGGCTGCCACATATGTGCCATGTAACCAATAGTCAACATTTTATGGTTGACCATTTGGTCAACCGTTATCTATAATGGTCAACGAAATTGTCAGGACGTAAATGACACACAACTATCATACGTCAGGACACAAATGTCATATTGGATACTTTATGACACAAATGACATTCTTCATAGTTCGGATTTCCTAGTGGTATTAGCCCTAAGAGAAAATGTGGAAAGGTCCAAAACGGAGAGGAGTTAAAAATGAATTATTAAATTTTGCGTTTGGAAATTGAAAAGAAAAGTAGAATGGCGTATGTCATTGCCACTTAGAAATAGATGGGAGCGATTGTGGGGATTACTATGGATTAGTACTCACCATGATTACTAAAGGCAAATCGAGAAACGGAAAAATATTTATTAATTTTCCTTTTTAATAAATTATATTTTAGGAAGTTACCAAAATATATTAACTACAATTCTCTCTCTCTTTCTCTCACTACCAGAATCTTCAATGAGATCTCTTTTTTTTTCTCAATCTTTTCCTTGTTTTCATTCAGGCAAACTAATACCGCTGCAATAATAAATCAATACCAATCCATTAAAAAACCACTAGCACTATACAAAACACCAATTCCATTCGAGAAATAAGAACACTACTATTTCAGAAAACACCAATACAATTGCAGATTTAACCAATACCCATACATGCAAATCAATATCATTACTTGATAATCAATATCAATGCGAAAAAACACTACCACTACATTTCACAAAACAACAATACCCTTACATATAATTAATACCAATGCAAAAAAAAAATATATATATCAATGCAAAAAAAACACCAATGCAAAAAAAACACTACCAATAAAAAACCAAGCATCTTATTCTCTAGTCGAATTCTCCAAATGAGAGGGTGGAAAAGGGGGGGGGGGTGTTGTGGGTTTTGCACCAAAGGCGGGATGAGGTGGGGTGAGGAGGAGGGAGGGATGGGAGAGGAGAGACGGTGGTAGGATGATGAGTTGTAGTAGGGTTTGGGTATATATAGAGTCATCATGTGTGGTATTTTTTTCATTTCCAATATTATCGTTAATCTAATCTTTACCGTTAATTTTAAATTAGGGTGAACTAGAGATAATGAATGATGTAGATTTTAGTAGCCACCGTGATTACTAAAAAATGAGTAACCATGCTAACCTATTTCGAAGATAGATTGATAGAGAGAAATGAAATGAGAAGTTGTTCGTTGGCTTTGCACTGTAACTTTGTGGACTGTGCGATACTTTTCCCCCATATTATCTAGTCATTAATAACTAATGTTTTTCCATTCTCTTTTTGTTTGCTAAATATTTTGAGGTTCTAATTATTAAATTTTTAGTTGTTAAGGTACTAACTACATAATTTATATATTTACATTAAAAAATTAGTTTATATTTTATATATAATATTAGTAAAATTTTAGTTTATATTTATATATAATATTAAATAAAATAAAATAATTTTAACGCTCTATCCACGCTTTCAATATTGAATTCCTCTAAATCAAACGCTCTTACGCTCCCGCTCTACGAACTGGTTAGCTAATTTAGAGTTAGGTTTGGTAACCCTGTATTTTGCTCATTTTTACAGTAAAGCATGGTTTCTCAAATTTCTCATACGATATCATTAATTTTGTAAATCTCTTGGTTTACTTAGATATTGGAAACAATCCAGAAAATACATTACTCTACTAAACTACTCATTTAGCATAATTAGTCTAACACGAAGTGACTTGAACAAATAATTTTAATGGAGAAAAGAAGAACAATATATCATAATAAATGTGCGAACTACGTTGAAAAATTGAATATTGTTTATATAAATACTGGCCAATCGGACAACTGAGGAGGAAATAAAGAGGGATGATTAGTGATCGATGTTGCTATCAGTTATGATGGTCAAATAAAACGTTTTTATAATCTCACAACCAAAAACAACGGTTTACTAACGGTTTCAAATAATTCAAATAAAATAAATGTTATTTCTACACGACAAATGGTAAGATAGTAATACTAAACGATGTCAGACATGTTTCATGACTATAAGTTCTTTCTTGTTATGAAAACATGTAACAATAAGTTTTGGCATCATCTATGTCTTCTTTAAAGATCGAGACGAGACGATGTCGATCGATGGCGTGAAGGAAAATTACAGCGCATCCATCACCAAAGACCAATAGTCGTGTTATGTATGCCCATAAAAGAAAAATTGTTTAAAAAGTAATAGTTTTTTAGAATATTTTTTCTTTTCGAAAAAGGAAGTGTCTTCTGATTCGTTGCATGTGTTTCTGCCAATTTAGGAAAACACAGAAATGGGATTCTCTCATTAAAGTTCTTGACATAAAAGTAATCATCACATTATGGTTGTTGACATAAAAGCACTATGACCTTTTCTTCAACCTTTTTAACCCAACATTACTTCTCCATCCTTCTTCACTCCAAACAAATCTAGAGACTTGCGGCTCTTCCAATCCAAAACCCAAGTTCAAGAGATAGGTGGAATGGCAAGCAGGGGGATGTACTGCCCAAGTGGTTTGTTTGCTCCAAAACCGGTCACCCAAGTACCACCATCGCTATCAATGGATGAAAAGGACATAACCGATGACCTTTTGAAAGAGTACTTGATTGATATTCCTGTCGAAGAGCTGAATCATCTGGTATAATCTAACTCTTGCATATGAATTCTATGTCTTAGATCTAGTAGTAGTGTTTGCACCCTTTTATTATTTGCTTAAATCTTCTCCTTTGTGATTATTGTTATCTGCATTTCATATATGAAATTCTTCTGCTAGCAAACATTTGCATGTTGGTGTTGGCTTATATAGGTTCATGTTTGGTTTGTTGGATTCATATTGAGACAGATTTTCTAATCTTATTTTGTCCTTTTGTTCAGTGTTCAGTGTTAGATATTCTCTACATATATCAGATCTGAAATTTAAATTTGTATGTTGGTGTTGGTTTATATGTTTGTTGTTAGTTTGTTTGGTTCATCTGAGCCCAACATCTCTTTCTCTATCTTTAGGTTCAGTGTTAGATGTTCTCTACTTATCAGATTTGAAATTTTGTTATTTATTAGTAATTCGCATGTTGGTGTTGAGTTATATATGTTCATTGTTGATTTGTTTGATTCATTATGCGACACCTTGTCCAACGTCATTTCATAAATTTTTAGGGGGTTCAGTGTTAGATGTTCTTTGTGTATCAAATCTGAATTTTTCTAAGATTGAGTGTTAGTTAGGGTTCGTTTGGTTTATTTTGACACAATTTTTACAATGGGTTTTTCTTTATTTCAAGGTCTTGTGTTAGAGGTTAGTTTTGAGTTTGGTTTTGTGTATGTTCATGATTGGTTTCTTTGGCTTTTGTTCATGGTTTGCATACCTGGATACTATTGTGGCGTTTCCCCCATTTTGTTCGTATTAGGGCACATTTATAAAGGACTTCTCTATACAAGAGATGAGGCACCACAGCTAGAAAATTAAGCCATAAACAAGTACATGCTAATTTATGTTTATGAACCTTCTGTATCAATGTTTGTAACTTGTAACTTGTAAGACCATACATACATCCATTATAGATGAATTATGAATTAAAAACTTTCATTTTTTTGCTTCTATTTAAACCTTCTTAGAGTGTTCTCGACAATCATCGACCACCAACCCAATTTTCATTATATGAGAAGGAGCAAAAGGAGGAGGGTTTCAAGTTTGAATCCACAATTTTTAGGTCTAAATTCAACGCTACAACCTGTAGTAGATTCATATGACCCAACAATAATATTTTGATTTAGGGTATCTTTTTAATTTGTTTTTTA